GCTGGGGAAGCATTCCCCAAACCTTACGGAAAGCCGGACATTTGGAAATTGAATTTTTGGATAAGCCAAGAAAGAGAAAAGAAAAGGAGCTGGAGCTGTGAGCTCTGATAAAGTAAAAGGCAGAGTTTTGTGTGTGGAGGGGGACACAGTCTTACGATGCCCCATGCAACTCGAACACCTGTGTTTTGCAAGAGTGAGGGCCTCTTGTTTCATCACTTTCAGAAAAAATAAACAAGTCTGAAGGAAGATACCAGAAGAAATAGGAAAATTTATATATGACAGGGAACACACATGCAATCCTTTATCTGATCACTCTCCAACAGCTAGAGGGTTATTGTATTATTAACATAGTACTAGTGCGTTAACAAAATAAAGCCCTGATGGTAGGAAGTGAGTAAATGTCAGTAATTTATTCAACTATCTTGGCACCAAATCCACAGTTAAGTTGTGCTTGACAACTTGAATATGGGTTTGTGCAATGCAATGTTGCCCCATGAAATTTGCTTTTCTGCTTTGGGGAAAGGTACAACTTTATGTCTAGCTGTAAAGTGCGGTTTCGCATCTTCAAGGTTTTCACTGCCCTGCTTGCAATAAAGCTTAAACACCAGAGAAGCGGAGGAAAGTATGAAACAAGATAACCGTTTAATACAAGTCTTGGAAACTTTTAGGCTTTAATGGCTTTGCCATTTATTATTTATATTGTATGGTGGGTACGCACTTTGCCAAGTAATACATAACCAGGCAGCATCGCAGACTATGGCTTCAAAATCGAAAGAGATGAAAGAACATCAATATCGCTGTGTTTCAATTTAGCACTAACGTTCAAGTTTGAGATTATTTTAGTTCTTCCTTTATATTCCAGGCTGAAAATAGTTTATTATTAGGTGTCTTAAAACATCAGTGTGATAATAGGTTCTTCTGAGGTTAAGGTCAAATAAAAGGAGGCTTTATGGCCTGGCTGGAATGTATTGGTTTGGAAATGACAACAGGAAAGGGTGTGCTTCATAGAGGCTCTTTTGATATGAGTTTGTTACAATTCTCAGCAGGTTAGGTGAGACCATTTTCCCTTTTTTACATTAACCTGTAACTCAGCGGTCTTCTGGGGTGGAAGGAGTCTGTTTGCACAACTTAATTTTTGCTTTTGCAATAGTGGCTTTATGCTGTTTGGCAAACAAGAACAAAGTGTCACTTCCAGGCAATGTGCAATCCAAATGTCCTGATGCCATCTGAAGCTCAGTCTGTCCCAAGGAGTGTTTTATTTTCCTTCTGAATTTTTATTACCTTCCATCTCTTTCTTGTTGGCGGTTCCACTGTTTTTCTTGCTGTGACCCGCGGAGCTCTCTTCCCCGCCTCAGCATCCTACCTCCACATCTGAGCATGTGCTGACTTTCATCTTGTTCTCTCTAAGGATCTTCAATTCTTTCACTGATCTTTGATCACGCCAAGTTCAAGGTCCTTCCTCCCAGCTGCTGCTGACCTTCAAAATCTCATTTGTGCTGATAGCTAGGCTGTTTGCATTCATTCCATCTCAAACTCCCCTCCCTCTTGCCATGCCTCCCCCCTGCCCAGCTTTTCTCTTTGCTTCTTGCTGTACATCACTGTGCTCAAAGCCATTGCCTGGTTCTCATCAGCTGATTTTGCCTTTGCTCCTCCCACAGCTCCTCAAAGCTTCCCTCCAAAGAAGCTGTTTCAACTTGTTCATATTGTCCGTCATCTCCACATGTTCTCCTTTGCTGTTATACTATCTTCTGCATTTTTTTCTCTGCATCTGTCTTGTCATACTGATTTTGCAAATGGTTTGGAGCAGAGTGGTGCACCATATGCTTACAATGCCTTGTGGAGTATCAGTAATTGGACTATTCACCCAGGGTTGTTGTATGCCTTCTCAATGGGATGCCCAAAATATATTCAGTTTACACTGAGGACAGTGAAGTGCTCGAAGTGTTTGACCCCTGGAAGCAAATGACTACTCTTGGCTGATAAAATCAGAAGGAAAACATAGGGCCTGACCTCCCCCACCATTATGCAGAAGCATTTTACATTTCTGTGTGTCTAAATATCATCATTTACTTGTAATGATCTAAGCAAAATAAGCAGTATATACTGATAAGTAGCTTTTGGAAGTGGATTTGCTCCTTCTTGTTGTGTGTTGCTAAAGCTTTGGACTTTTACTCTCTCGATTTTGCTGTTTTTTTTACTGTTTGAACAATATAAAAATGACAGTGATTTTTAATTGTGAATAACTCTGATATCTTTAATCTGAAAATTCTGGTTTTGATCAATTGAGTGTAAAATTGAGGGTTTTCATGCATTTTGCAGAGGTCTTCTGGCTGCAGGTGAGCCTAGAAGACCCACAGCAAAGACTTTCAACGCTTTCCCTGCCTTTATTGTGGTCCCTTGCCAAAACTGGGGCTAGAGGTAACCCTGAAACTGTGTGGCTATAAAGGGACTTTTTTGCTGGTATGGATTTTATGTGGCAGATGTACTGCAATGGGCACCAGTGCCAGACCCTCAGGGAGATGATGGGTTACAGTGCGCTTGACCTGCCAAAAGAGCTGAGCAGAGGGCAGCGTAGGGCTGGCTGACAGAGGGTGCCTGTCTGAATCTCACCGCTGCATAAATGGAGCAGGTTTTCAGTCAGTGATACCAAGTGATGTTGGATGCTGGAGCTGACAGGCTGAAATCAGGAGATACCAAGGGGATGAAAATGCAGAAGAAACTCAGTTGTGTGCTGGAGTGGGCAGTGATGATGATACCTCCATCGCCTGAGTACAGCTACTCCCCAGGCGACTGAGGACCAGTTCTTGCACTTGATGCAGAGATTCATCTGATTTCTTGGCTGAGCATAGCCACCTGTACAATAGAGTGGATAATATTGACCTAAAAAAGATGTCAGAAGGGTTTATTACAGCAGAGCCCTTCATCTTATTAGTATAAATGCCCATACATGTAAACATATGTGTAATAGGATTCTCTGTATTTAACAGATCAGTTAGTTCCTTATCAGAGGCCACAACGTCTTATGCAATCAAGAAAATTGGTGATAATTTTTTTTCCAGCTTATAAAACTCTTTGCAAAAGTAATGTTATAGGCAACAATGTCTGGTGTTTCTTGTCTGTTAAGCTCTAGATCAGTCTTAATGCTCTTAAAAGTTGTGTCGCAAATTAGATTGCTTGTTCAAGTGACTGGACTGTAAGGGATGATCTTGCAGTGGAATATGGATTTTCTTGCTGATAGTGTAAGATTTTCATGTGTCCAGGTGCAATTTAGGCAATCCACGTGTTGCACAAACACACAGCATGCAACAGAAAAATATTGGAAGTGAGGAATCAGAGGCAGGAAAGATACCAGGATGAAGGAGGAAGACTATGGATCTAATTTTACCTTAGTATAGATAACCTACATTGCTAGTGGATTACAGGGATTTTCATATGTAATCCTTGAAAGTATGGTGGTTAGAACCACTTTTAATATTGTATTAGTATTTCAGTAGCAATCACCAGCTCCATTGTGCTGAAAACTGCACATGGGTTCTTGTGCCAGAAGAATGACTGCATTATGGATGATGCTGCATTTCTCTACTTATGAAGGTTGGAGTGAATGAGCAGATTTTTCTCTGGGAGCTGTTCTCACCCTAAAAATCACAGTGGTGAGGCAGATAAGGGGTACATGATACTACAGGGAGACAGCAGACAAAAAGCCAACCACATGAGGTTGCCTTCAGGCTGTTTCAAAGCCCCGTCCATGGTGGTTCTCACAGACACAAGGAATCAATGCATGAGTTCAGGAGAGCATTAAATCTGAAGCCCAGATAGGCTGTACACAAATCTGTGTCTTTGTAGAGGGCTATAGCAAACCTATAATTTTTAAAATTATCCCTGTATATCTTTCTATAAAGTTTGGAATATGACCCTCCAGGATGCTATATTGGTTTTACTCTGGGAATGAGGTATTCCTGATCCTTTTTTCCTTATTTGAACACTGTAGCTACAGCAACCACTTTCCAGGATCAACTCAGGTTTCCATTCTACTCTGTTTAAATAGTTGCTTGGTTAATTAATACTTAAAGAGACATAGGACACTAGAGTCATTGTCACAAATATACAATAATAGCTAATCTGTCTCCCGAGCAGTTTCTTCATGAATAGATCCAGGGGACAGTAGGTGCATGAAAAAGCAGAGGGGTATAATGTGCATCTTATGGCAGTGTATTAAGTGATGTGACAAATGGAAGTAACCTTTCCCTTTCTGATTATTAAGAAAGGTGCCCAGAAAGGGAAAGTCTAGCCCTTCCTCCTGCTTTATATCTTTGATGAGAGGAAAGGTGGGAAAACTCCTTCCAGCCACCTATTCCTAAAGTGCCACCCAACCTCAGGCACTAACTTAGGTAGCCTGGGGGACAAGTCCCTGAGCTCTCCCCATAGCCAGGAAGAGAAGTAGCCCTGTGGGAAGCCCAGCCTGGTGCTCTGAACACCTTGTGGAGGAGCTTCTCTTCATGCTTCCACCCCGTAAGGGTGACCAGCTTCCTAATTAGGTACCCAAAGGCAGGAGGTGCAAATAACTCCCAGGGCTCTGGCTCCAACCCGGAGCCCCGGGAGCAGACAGTTCTGCCGCATCTCTGCCAGCGCTGCTGAAGAAGCACATGGTGAATGGTGTTTCCAAAGGGGGAATAACAAGAACCAGCAAAATTTGGCTGCTTTCTCCGTGAGAAATGAAAGTTAGCAGAGGTAGGATTTAATTCCAGTTAAATTAGTATAAATAAAACTGTTGGGATTTTGAGCAGGGCCTGGCAAAACAACAGGACGGACATGGATTTGTGTCTCATGTATGCAGGATTTTAACCCCACTTGATTTCAGCATGCAGCAGTGGGGAACTGTTCCGAAACTTTGAAAATCCAAGTGAAAACCCCTCTTTTCCATCACGACAGCAAATCCAAAAAGGCACCAAACAAAAACAAGTGCTTTCTTCTTGCAGACCTGCCACTCGCAGAAATAAGAAATGGCGTCAACGGCACACTTCTCGGAGGAGGAGATGGCAGAGCTACGAGAGGCGTTCAGCAAAGTCGGTGAGTAGAGCAAACAGGAAAGACTCTGCAGAAGTGTGAAGCCGTAGCAAGCTCTTTTCTCATGTACTGGCCAGCCGTGAGGAAGCAGAGGTTACTCCAGCACTGATCTGCTGTGTCACAGAAACCACAGAAAGTCCTTTTCCTGCCGCTGCAGGCCTCCCAGATGAAACCACCCCAGCGCGCTGCAGAGCAAAGGCCCCTTACCGCAGAGAGGTGGCAGGGCAATGAGCAGCAGGGTTTACGAAATAATCTCAGAAGCTGTGCAGAAAACCATGCTGGAAATACTCTCAAGTGTTTTCCTAAGGATATTGTTTATTCCTGGCAAATTATTTGGAAGGAAAAATGTTTTTATTTTAGTGTAAATTGAGTACTCCCTCTGGGGAGGAAGAGTCTGGAGAGGATGAATGTGCAAATGGCTACAAGATTTGTAATCCCTTTAGTGTGACCTTTCAAGCCCCATATATTTTTAAAGTGTGTATTTTGTTTCCAAGCCTTTAAAGGTCTCATCTGATTCATCTTCTTTGAAGTCATGCAGACCCATCACTGTCTACCCAAATTCTAAGAAAAGGTCCTTGTGCTTCTCACAGCTCACTTAACTTTTATTAGGTTAGACTCATCTGTCAGCCTCACTGGATTATGTGTTAATCAGTTGTCCTTGCTGCTTCAGGTGACGGTTGTTTGACTCCTAAGGACACAGTAGTCCAGGCTGGCAATCTTAAACATCTGGTCACTGCATGTGCTCCATACACCCGATGCACTGACAAGGCAAATGCTGGAAGGAAGCGCTCGTTCCTCTCCCAGACATTTCCCTCTCCAAGTCCAGATCCTTTTGTTGTGTGACTTCAGAAATGGATAGGATGCTGTTTGCAATCTGTATTAATCCGTGCTACTGATGCTGAAGAGCTGAGTCCCTTTTTGCAGCATGCAACAAGTGATTCACATTGCAACTTACCACGCAGGAAATCGGCACGTGCTTCTTTGAAATTGCCTCGGCCTCTGGGCTGGGGAAAAAGAGCCTGCAGAACGAGAAACACCCAGATATATAACAAATAAATATACAACCATATATAACTCCATATATAACTATGTACATAACCATAGCATTTTAATAGAAACTCTCCACACGATAGATTCAGTTTCCTTTTTCATTTGTTGAGGTTTTCACAAACCAGTGGAGAAGAAAGGACTATTTAACCTGTATTGGTGATCTTGTCATAAAATCCTACCCCAAATCTTGCAACAGGCTCAGCAGGACTATCCATGTTAGCACCATCGCAGCGAGGCACTCAGGTTTTTATTTCAAGGATGACCATATGGAGTTCCCAGCCTCTAAACTCATGACTTCTGATGATACTAGATGCAGAAAACAGGCCAAAATCACAAGTTATATCTATGAATATGTGCACATGTAAGGTGTAACTCTGTATTGCATCAACTCCATTGTCTTTAGCTGTTCTGTAGACAGGATACTCTCTCTGTAAATCACACGTTTGTCTATATGTAAAACTTGGCAAGTCAATTATATCCATCTAAACCTAGCTTTTGTAAGGTATGACTATATGTCTAAAACATATAAATTCATCACTGTGTGTTTTTGTTTTTTAAATGGTGGTTGTCATTTTTTCTCAGGTGTGAACGACACCACAGTGGTTGAAAATATTGGATTTCAGGATAGCAAATATTTATATATAATGTACCATATGTTACCCTGTAGGTAAAATAAAAACAACAGCCTTTGTGTGCATAAAATTTCATTGGGCTGATGTAGAATCTAAATGTTTGCTTTCATCTTTGTAGATGTCAGTGGGAACGGTTTCATCCATGCCAATGATTTAACAGACGTGTTGAAGGCAGCCAATCTCCCTCTCCCAGGATATAAAGCCAGAGAACTCATTCAGAATTTGACAACCACGGGGGATGGCAGGATCAGTTTTGAGGAATTTATTTCAGTAAGTAAGATGTTATTTATTTCAGCAAGCAAGATGCGAGGTGGGATACTTATGGTGGTCCCCAGGGCACAGCAGAGGCACAAGCACAGGGTCTCATGGGCACCTAGTTAATCCAAGGAGTCCCCTCACTGGAAAAGATGAGAGCAGGAGGTAACTGAACTAGAAATCCTGCAATTAACTGGGACAAGTTGCATGAATGCAGCTGCGCATTGAATAGACTTAGTATCTCTCAGTTTTGTTGATGCAGCAGTATAAAGTTTTTCAGTCGTAAGTTGCAAAAAGATTATGTTCTGGCTAGATGGTTATGAAAAATGTCAGCAGATTGAAACTGAAAACTTTATGGGGCATATTTTTCTGTTAAAAAGGCTTCTTCTTTTTCTGGTCTGAACTGGGACAAAAGAAGATACTAAAATAGTGGAATTTCCCTTGGGATGGAGAAACAGCTTTTATCTTGTCCTTTCTGCAAACCAAAACTGTTAAAGGCCCTCCTCCTGCACATTTTAGCTCCACGGTTTCATACCATATACATTTCTGTTACTTAGCTGATCTTTGTTCACTGCTTTGAAAACATAAAAGCTGTGTATGATCCTTTTCTACCACAGCACATACACAGATTTTACACAGGAACTCACTGAATATCATGCAAGCTGTGCTTCCCTGTGAATGAAGCAGAAAGGACTTGTCTCCTGACCCAAGAGCTCGCTGTTCTAGCTTGGTTTAATTCTCTGAAATTTTAAAATTGTCTCTTTTGCCCGAAAGATTTTCCAAAATCTGAAGAGTGACGATGTTGCTAAGTCATTCCGAAAACAAATCAACAAGAAGGAGGGGATTTGTGCTATCGGTGGGACGTCAGAGCAGTCCAGTGCCGGCACACAGCACTCTTACTCAGGTAGGTACAGCTGTCCTACGTTGATATCAACTAAGAACAAGTGTACCCTTGGAGACCATCTGCACCTTATCTCAGTGCAAACCCAGGTGCTTTGGCCTCGGTGAACTTTGGTGGCTGTTCAGGGGAGTCTGGTGCAAGGCAAAGAGTTGTGACGGTGACAAAGCACCAGAGCAGGGTCTTTGTCAAAAATAGGGTGAGCCAGCTTACCAGGGTGGACAGAGCTGCGGCTACAGGAGGAAGCTCCAGTTGGCTTAGCTTCCCGTACCACAAAGGCATTGCAGCTCTGCTGGAGAAAAGCCTCCCAGCATGGCTACAGCAGCACAAAGACTGGCCCTTTGCTGGCCCTGCTCACTGTCGAGGAAAGGCACAGTTTCCCTGCTGTTGCTAACCCATTTCCTTGTACATTTACCAGTTGTCTGGTAGTCTCTCTATAAACTCACCTGGAACCAAATGATTCCTGACCTTTTTTTAAAAAGGGCACAACCCCATCAGGGCTCTTCTCCCAGCCTGTTTCTCCAAGCTGAAGGCTGGGGCCGGCCATGGTTGCTTCTGCTGCCTCCTGGGCACAGCCCACTCTGAGGCAGCTCCACAGGGAGGAGGTCCCACCCTTGGTTGTCTTCTCCAGGAGCAAGGTTGGGGAACTGACTCTCTCCAGGGAAGGGAGAGTGGAGGATGCTTCCAAGGTGTTCACCCACCTGAGCACAGAGGATACCTTCTCTGAGCTACTAGGGGTGGTGTGAGCTGCTGCTGCCAGTACAGGATAGCTACGTTACAGCCCTATTGGACTTCAGTTGCCCATTACCCTCTGAATGCTCCTTGTCAGAGTCCAGTCCTGGCCAGGCTTTTCTAGATATTCCACATATGGAGAGTGTAAGGTACAATGCAGAATTCACTGATTTGAACTTATCTGAAGTTACATGGGATTTCAATTTAGCAGAGTGATACAACAATGCATTGAAATTATGGTGCAAGTCCAAATGACTCTTAGCAGAGCATAGCAACGGCAGCATACGTTTTAATCACATGAAATTCATTCAGCCTCTATAGTATGCCCACCGTCATGACACTGGGCAACCCCAGTCAAAGGGAAGGAGGGTGGAAGGAGTATTAACCAGCTCAAGCCCATTGCCGTCTTCAGCTCATGTACCTGTCTCCTCAGAGCCGCCTTCTCTTGTGTGTTGATCAGTCACACTGGTGGGAGAGTCTTCTCCCCCAGGAGTTCTGCCTTTGTAAGTAAAATGGTGGCAGAGGCATTGCACAGCAAACTGATGGATTTGATATTGTTTCCACAGAGGAAGAAAAGTATGCCTTTGTCAACTGGATTAATAAAGCCCTGGAGAAGGACCCTGACTGTAAGCACGTGGTCCCAATGAATCCAGAAACAGATGACCTCTTCCAGGCAGTCGGTGATGGCATAGTGCTTTGGTAAATAATTCCCCTATTTCTCACAAATGGGAACCATGAGTCTGGAGAAACTCATGTTTGCTTAAATACAAGCTGCTGATTTTACATTAAGCTCATGAATCTTTGCAGATTCAGGTCCTTAATAATGCTAGTTTTTTTGCTTCATTTATCTTTAAAAATATAAAGATTTTTTTCGTGTTAAGTGAGAGTTTTTCCTTGCCTCTGGACCTTTGCAATAAGATGAAGTCAGTGAAATTTGAGGAGTTATTTGGGTTTATTTTTGTCCAAGGACTTTTTGGGGGGGTCACATGAAGCAGCACAAGATAGTGAGTGCTTTCACAGGAATTTCTGCACAATAAATTTCTTGCACAACTTCACCTTGTAGCATTTTTGGCCTTGCACCCCATAGTACAATCTGCATGTAACACAAAAGAATTGCTTGAGTACTGCATGCATGTCTCTGTGCATACATGTGAAAACAGAGGCTGACTACCTGTATTTGATCAGCAATCTGCAGCTCTTTGACTTGTCCTACAGTGTAGTGACAAAAGCTGTATCTGTATTTTGTGTGCACATAGCCAGTAGTGTATTTCTTGTTGTTTTTTCTTTTATTTCCAGTAAGATGATCAACTTTTCAGTGCCAGATACCATAGATGAGAGAACAATCAACAAAAAGAAGCTCACACCCTTCACAATACAGGTACTAAAATGTAACAAGATTCCTTGCTTTTCTCCTTTGGATACTTGGATATAATCACCTAGAGCAAAGGCTGGAGATACCATGGTCCTGCCCAACACAATCAGGCAAAGTCGTTTGTGGCAAAGTGAGGTGCCCAGGTCCACATCATACAAACATAAAGACTTATATTTCTGTTTCTTTCCAAACATATGAGAAATCTGACTAAACAAACGTGTTTGTATTTGCACTTAACCCAATGTATAAATGGGTTAAATGTTTACCAGTTCAAAGCTTTAGATACCTTTGTGGTAGATGTCGTACGAATGGAAGAGCAACTAGACAATACGGTGACCAATTCCAGTTGGAGTAGCTCTCCGAAGGCTGAACCCCCCTCCAAAGTCACACAGGCATGGCCATGGACTTGAATTCACAACGGCTGTGTTGCAGTCCGATGCCCTCACCAAAGTATTCACTGTGATCCTGGAAGTACCGTGGTGTGCAATGTGCCTGAGAGCGGAACACAGCCTTTGCCTGCCAGTTACAATCTGTACTTTTTCACCTTGAATACGGAATCCTTTCTTTGTTTCTATTACGTGCACATATATATAATTTAAAATTGGTCAAATAAGCAAATTTTCACCTATTTAAAGTTTATTGTGTTTCTCACACAGCGGTATGTAGAGAGATATTTTTATATGAACAACATCTATGTATCTGAGTACAGAATATGAATAGATATGTGGAATAGATATGAACCTAACCCAGTTTAGCCCTCAGCTACTCAGATTTGATGGAACATTAGCCAGGCTCAAGTAAGCTCAGAAGCCATTAAATTGGATTTTTATGCTGTATACCACATTTTTCAGTTCTAATCATTTTGGTCAGCAGCATAGCTTAGTGATGCAGCCCAGATCAATCCCTGTCACACATAGACATGATTTGATCAATATAGCGTCCACTTTAACTTAACCCTTTTACAGCTGTCTGGTGGAGAAAAGGTAAGTAATTTGAAATGTTCCAATTTTTCTAGCTTATGAGCATTTACACTATGTCTCTCTCTGCATTTTGTATCTAATCAAATCTCTGTCATGCCAGCAGTAATGGAATTGTGAAAAATTGCAAATCTGCGTGATAAATTATATTTTCTAGGCTTCTTTGCCTCCTTTGCCTGCCCTTTGTTCACTAAGCCACCTTTCTGAATGGTGCAGACCTGTGGGTCAGATTTTCTTATACCCTTTGTTTTAAATGGGAAGGAAGTGGTGAAAGAACATAAGGTTCCTGGAACATCACTTTCTTTCCGCCCCTCATTGTGAAGCACAGAAACCCTCTGCTTCTACTGAATGTTCCCAAAACAGGACTCCATACTCCAAAATTCATAAAGAAAATATCCAGGCCTGACCAGTGCTGACCTTGGCTGAACTGCAAGGTTAAAAACTCAACAGGCTTATTCATACTGATTCCTATGACCATGTGTTTTTTGTATACATTGCCAACCAGCAAATTATTTGTCTCTTACGTGTTAGGCTTTTGCATAGTGCTTAGGGAGAGCCAAGCCTGGAATGTCTGCTCGTTGACTGGGTTGTAGCTCCCTCATTCCTCCATGTGTGCAAGACTGAGTGGAGGAGAGCTTGCCCTGCACTGAAGCCAAAGTCTTCACTTGAACAAGTGCTTGTGCATTAGCAGTGTGGCTGTGGGGAAGGCCTGGCTTTGACACCAGGATTGAGCCAGGACATCACTGTGAATGCAGATGTAGGCTCTGAGGTCCAATGCTTTGTAACATGGCGAGGCCAGATGTCTGAGCCTTTCACCTTTGCCAGAGGCCCTTTCTGTCTTTGTGTTGGGACCCAGAACTTGCCTGCAATCCCAGGACATTCTGCGTTCCCCTGCTCCCTGTGAGCAGACATGTACGTAAATACATTCACAGTAAAGCTGCTCATGGATTTCACTAGTTTTGGCTGTGTTCGCTTCCTGTATCCTCCGCTCTCCAGTTACTGCATCATTCAGAAGTTCTCTTCTTTCCCT